AAAGAGTTCTTCCGAGACTTTGTGAAGCACGTTTCCTTTGTCTAGGAATCTTGCAATATTTCCCACACTTCTCAGCGAAAATGAATAAAGCCGCCACTTGTAAAAAATGCTCTTCTGTTTTATGCATCAACTTTTCCTGTGCAACATATGTTTCTTACAGGATCATTAATTTATTGAATTATACTCGGTGCATGAATACACATAATACATAAGTACTAAAAATATATCTTACCTGATGATTGAGCCATTTCGCACTCACGAAAACTACTAATTACAATAACAAGATTAAATAACAATAACGAAAACAACAAAATAACGAGTAACAACAACAATATTCAAGAAAACAAACAAATTGGACGTGAAAGTGTTTACGCCTGGAATCCAAACTCAAATGATTCAGCGCCGCGTTCGTCTACGTCACACTTGGCTTGGCGCTACTATCAACGTTGCCAACTTGACGAAATGTATAGCCAAAATAAGCCTACAAATCTTGAAAATCACTGCATACCCCCATCAACTATTGGTCCCCACCATGGTCGCGTCGTCCCCACTTTCCGGCATGTACGGAAGCAAACGAGATCCCCCTGCTCTGACCTCAAACCTCCAGATTTTGGAGCATTTTTGAGCCTGCTCGTAGCGCCGTCTAGCGTTCATGAGATGCGAGTCGCGACTTCTATCTCACAATAAGTTATTTCGTGATACTAAAGAGGTTTCTGACGTTTCTCCACAGTTAGTAGGGTTAGTAGTAGAATGAATTTATGAAGAAGATATTTTCATCTAACATCTGACACCGTTTTTGTTCAATTATACAGTGAAAGTTGAATGAATTAACAAGATAAATTGTAATAAGATTAGTATTAGAATTTTCTTTATCAAAGAGAGGTACGTAATCTAAAATATTATCATTTAAACGCCCGAAATACATGTCTGACCGTTTTAACATAGAACATAACCTCTTCTACGCTCGTCAGGTTTTAAGTTTGCAAACTGAATTATTTATCAACGCATTTGCGCGAATGCAGAAATGTTTAACTTTCATTTAAACCGATGTTACCGCAGTGATATTAAATTGTGATAAACCATCGAACACGTTATCGATAAATATGTGTGCTTAATGAGATGAATTTAATCGTTGAAGCTGCAGATTTATTTTCTTATGAACTGTTGTAGATGTCATTAACTTTTCAACAAATTATATTGGATGCGAAAAAGTTAGTAATTAGACTATCGGATCATGAAAACACAGCTGATAATATGATAAGCGAAATAGAATCAGTTTGCAGTCAAATTGCTAATATGAAGCAGGTAAGTAATAATTTATATATTATCTTAACTTGTGTGATTCACTAACTTATACAGGTTTCCTAATTAAAAACCGATTCATCCTAATCAACCTTCGTAAATAATAATATTCTGCTCCAAGAAACGATCTGATCAACTTTTTCATCATAATTGATTTTCTGGTGTAGACAAGTCGTGGAACATGTTTTTCCCACGTTGTTAATAATCTGTGTTATTCATAGTATCAAGAAGAAATTGAAATTTTAAATACCGAAGCGAAACAGAGGCCGCATATACAATTGATAACAGGGATACAAAGAGAAATTAAACACTCGCAAGAGATGCAAGCTGAAAACAAGGAATTGAAGAAAGCTTTAGAGGATCATCAACATGCTCTTGAATTAATCATGTCTAAATACAGACAACAAATGGCATCTTTGTTACGTCTTTGTAAAACAGATCTTTCTTCTCTGCATAATGCAAAGTATGCGAGTGTAAGTACGAACCTCCTATGAGTACAAAATTTAAGAAACAAGGTAGTTGTTGGCCTTCTATATTAGTCGAGATAAGGTCTACAAATAAATAGCTCCAAATGCAAGGCTTCTATATTAACATTTTATCGACCGGTCGTGGTTGAGGCTGCCACTCAGTAAGTACCGATTTAGTTTAAGCAAAACTCTTTATCTGCACAGCTTTTATCCATTAGAAACGGTAAAAAAATATTATAATTGATAAAGATATGGAGTGGTTAGTATACAGCTACTGCGAAAACAGTAAATCAACGACGTTGACACCGCGTAATTATAAAAACAAATACAA